GACCTGTTACGTTAGTCGTTCCCATATGACAAAAGCCATACAACGCAACAAAGGTTCGTGAACGGGTCGCCCTTACATCGGGTACTTATAGACACTCTCCTCGGGATTTTTGTCAAAAGCGCACTCTGCCTCTGAGCAACCATACCGCTTCTTTCCAGCTCGCACAGAGTCCCGAAAGAGGAAAAATATTTTACTCTGTCCAACTCTGAACGCTACCTGCAGAACAGTGCCTTCGCATAGATTACTTTTACTGCTGCAGAAAGTCCTCCATCTTTCTAATAACGAATATCTTACATCAGCTAAAAAACGCAAAATGATTGATTGACTGAGTGATTGGTTGAATTGAAAAAAGTGTAGTCCACTATGTTATTGTTTGTTCCCTTTTATTAGATAAAAGCCGGATGTTCACAATCCGCTGATCTAGAATTTGTAGCAAGAGGTAATTCTTTGACTGTGATTAACATGAAAACACCATCATTCATTACAAGCTAGTACCTGATCATGTGATCTTCCATAATTCTTGAGAGACGATCACAATTACCATTAAGATGTAGGGACAATTCACTCTATCGTAATTCATGCTCATCGCTTTCAAATGAAATCGCGAAACATTTTGGATGTCACAGCACGTGTATTTAGATATCATAATTTTGATCTTTTTGCATAATCCGAATGGCTTTTGATTGCGATGTCTACTGTACCCGCAGCTTTAAACATTTTTGCTATAAGGCACCGGTTATTGCATTGTAGAGAGAAATACCACTCTCGGAAAGATACCACCAGATCTGCCTCTGCCTTGTTTTCCAACGTTGTAGTTGGCCTTCCGGTCATCTCTAACATGTTTTGGCTCCCACGCGAGGAACACAAGGAGTAAATGCTGGAAACATACTGTAGTAAACGGAGGAATTGGTTTATGATCGTCCAATTTATCTGGCAGGCCCAACCTCCTTTCCTTAATCTGTAATCAGTTGAGTTCAGCTGTGCTCAAAAGACAATATAGTAATTCCTCACGTGATCCTGCCATTTAACCTGATCAACCATGAAAGCCAACCCTGTCCCTCAGTTCAACGGTCGCTTGCGCTACTTCATTGGAACAACTGTGCCCGCACCCAGCAACAACATTGGCAAAGGGAGATAAGGAACAGACAGACTTCTGTTGAGAAAGATACTTTTTCAGTCCAAATATGGGACAGATTTCCAAAAGCACTCTAAGCAATGGCGATACTCCTATTTAATTCTTACTAGATAATGCCATCGCTGGAGATGATGGAAACGAGGTACTTAAATTGGTCAACCTCCTGCACTTTACTGACCTGTTCCACCTGCAGCTCAGACGTGATTGATGGGCTGCTCATAATTCATAACTCCGGGGCATTAAGGAAAATGGCGGCTTTCGCAGAGGTATTGCATACGGAGGCCGCTTTCCTCACTTCTCGCCCGTATGATCGGCTTATTTCATGTCAGCATATTAATTCAGGTATGTCGAACTGTGCCTTCGTTTTTTCAGGATCAGCACCGTTCCAGAGAAGAAAGTCGAAAACAACGCTGTACAGCAACGAAGAAAACGAATCTTCTCCTACATGGAAGCGAGTTTGATTTTTCATCAAGCTTCATCTCTGGCCAGATAGATTCACAGTCTTGTTTCCCCATGGCAAAACTTTTTCAGAGCGGAATCGCATAATCAAATTCATAATAACAGGTTATTACATGAGTCAAACAATGAGTAGTGACATATACGTAAAATACAATAAAAAATCTGGTATTTCTAAACAAACAAACATGCTGTAAACGTTCTGGTACCGAAGAGAGGTCAGCAACTAGTTTGCCATCGAATCGATTCGCAACATAAGCTTAAATGGAGCGTAAACTACCATACTTAAGCTGAAGGTGTTTGGTGATTGATGTTTCGCGCAGTCGCTTAGGTCTTTGGCTATTGTGCAGCTCGTGTCTTCTTGTTCGTGCTGCTAGGCCAGGTTTTGCCCAGTCAGTGTACACCAAGTCGGTAAGTAGAAAAGTTTTCTCTGCTACTTTAATGTGTATAGCAGAAATTGATGCTAGCAGCTCACGCAAGCAACGAATACGAATCATCGAATGACCGACTGTTGAATGGAATTGCACCGATTGCTGTTGCCTCAATTTCGAGGTAGCAAAATATCTGTAGACTTAGTGAGAAGGCTAGCTGAACTAAACACCGAAAACAATAGCCGCACTGATTGCAATCATTCAAAAGGCAGGCTTACATCGGTAGTGAGCGCAAATTGGTGCACCCCTTTGGAGGATAGCAATGCATGCTGACTATTCGATAAAATGATCGATGTAAAATATACTCCGCTTATTAAACCTGCTCATTAGCATAGTCTTCTGCATATTTCAGCCAAAGGCAATTAATGGTAGAAACGAAAAATCGTCTTGACACTGAACACCAATCAAATTTCGCTAATGCGATGTGCCACGTGTATTGGTCGAAAAATCCAATCTGCGACGGTGGGGGAATTTTTGTAGCTTTTGGAGTTCCATTTTTATGGCATTATATGGAGGTCTTTGAGTCAGTTTGTCAAGCATTCTCTTTACTAGCCAAAAACGCTGTCTGTCAGTCTACCTGCATATCAATCACTAAATTAATTTACGTAGGTATTTTGCTGTTTCCGTCTATCTCTCGTCTTCTCTACAATTACATATATTCATCAATTTATGTATCCATCAATTTGTCCGTCCGTCTTCACTGCTGTTTTAACGGTCGTCTGTCGGTGTCAGTTTATCGATGCAACTTCATACCTTTCCTCATATAGCTGCATCGCACCTGCATTTTTGTTTATACCATCTCAACAGGTTTGGCTTCTTTCTTAGCCATGAAAAACAAGCCTCCCATAGAGGATGTTGATCGACAAAAAGAGCATCGCTGCAGCTCACTCACTTCTCAGTCTATTTAAATTTCTCGATAGCTTACTTTTGCGAAAGAAAAGACGCCAGGCACTTCAAACACATGAAGTGGCTTGTTCTCTACTAGCTTCGCTCCTCATGAAAACAGCCGAGACACAATGTCCACAGAAATTTGCAGCAGGCGTTTTAAAGTCGACTGCCAAAAGGCTTATCGACTAGAAGACATTTCATTGCTTTGGAATGATGATACTATTACACCGTGTAATCTGGTAAAATCAAATGTATGACATAATATGTACAATTAAACAATACGAATATTATAATAAAACATGAGCAATAAATTTCCCTTGTAACTGAATGAATTTACTTATGCCTGTGTTATTGTTTTATTCCTCGAAATTATTAGCAATTAAGAATATCAACCTTCTGATTCAGGCATAGTGACTGGTGGTAGGAACGCCTAATTAATGTTTACCATAAGCTCCGTTTCTCTGTGCCATCACTGCATGGATCTTAAGCCCACGACGTTTCCACAAAGCTGTTGTTATGCTGCAGTATTGTGGATTATCCGTACTACTGGCAGAAAATTGCAAGAACCATGATACGTGTCTCATTTTGAATGTCAATCAGTCAAGTGCGATGATCACTTATGCTTTGGAATAGCGGAGGCAGACGAGTCAGACAGTGTCTCCAAACTTCCTGATCCGCTGCCAGCATTTGCCAAGCGATTCGCCTCAGCAGACCCATTTCAGCCGAATGTACTATGGATCGAGGTTTAACAGTAATGGCCTACGACTGATGACTAGGTGTGAGCATTGTGAGGAATATCGGCTCGAACACAGACAGCGACAGCTTAATCTTCAGACTCAGCTCTGCTTCAGTCATAACGGATCCAGTTAGTTCATGGAGAATGCCGTTGACCATTCCAATTCGCTCGACAATCTCTTCTCCAATTTTCCGTCACCGGTAAACACGACTGCTTTTTTGAT